CCCTGAGACCACACACAGGACACCATGCGACCCCCATGAAAAGATGCTCTGACAACTGGCAAAAAGCTTTTCTAGACGACAAGTTCTTCGGTCAGTCACTTGCACCGAAGATGAAGCCCTCGGCTCCTCCCATCTCTCCGTGGGGGGTCCCCACCACCTTGCTGTGGGCTCCTTTCCAGGCAAAGACGCTCCTGTAAGGCCTACCATGCTTGATTATCTCAGACATTCACCAGAACTTAAAAACAAAAATCAGACCCTAGAGTTTAACTTGCATAAACCAAATTTTACCAGAAACACCTCTGAAACACATCTTGTAAATCAGGCCTGTAAGCAAAAGTTCAAATGAAAAAGGAACGTTTTACTTCTACCTTATCTGGTCAAATCCACCCTGGAGTTGGGTTAATATACTAGTAACGTGGGTGCCACAGCAAACCCACAGACGCCCCACGGGGTATTTTGAATTTATGAGGAAAACGCGATGCTGGAGATGTACCGACCCCACCTGAGGTATTCAGTTTCAGTATGAGATCCTGCTACATTCCTTTCAAGGACATCACTATATCACAAAACAGCGTGCGTGGTTGCTACGATGAAAGGAAAGTACCACCAAAACAAACAAACACACACAAGTCAGACACAAAGTCTGACTGGCAGTGTCCAATCAGACTCCCAAGCTAGAGAAGTTGTGCAATGTCCAACAGGTGCAACCATCCCATTAGTAGGTCACTGTGGTTATCTAAGAATGAAAAAAAAAGTTCCTTCTAATTTATGCATATGATTTGCCTCAAATAACTACTGTTAGGACATAATACTTAATAAAATTATTTGGACCTAACTAATAAATGGAGTTATTAAGTATCCTTCTTAACCTAGAGATGCCGTGAAAAAGTTGCTGAGACACTAAGAGCAATGTGAACAAAGGAAGTCTAGGAATCAGTCCTTAGCAGCTAACGGTTTGGCACACTGATTCCTCTTCTGGGTGCTTTACCCATATTTGTTCTTTCAACTCCATGCCGACCCTCTGAGTTCAGTACTAAAGCCATCCCTAGTTCCCAGATGAGGACGAGATGGCGAAGTGCCCTAGGTCCCACATAAAAGACCCACCTGTGTTTAAGGATGCACAGCACAGGTACAGACGACATTATCACGCCAGGCAAAGCGCATCTGGTAGCACCTTCCAGTCATGGAACAACTGAGGTTTCTGAGGACAAATGTTTCTCCCGCGTCTCAACTGTTGATTTGCTACTGGCTTAAGAATTCAATATGGGCCAAGCTCTGCATTTGTGTGCATCAGTTAGAAAAAAAGACATTTTGGGCGCTTGGGTGGCTCAGTGGGTTAAGCGGCTGCCTTCGGCTCAGGTCATGATCCCGGAGCCCTGGGATCGAGTCCCACATCGGGCTCCCAGCTCAGCGGGGAGCCTGCTTCTCCCTCTGACCCTCTCCCCTCTCATGCTGTTTCTCTCCCGTTCGCTCTCTAATAAATAAAATCTTTAAAAAAAAAAAAAAGACTAATTTTAAGTGACTTTTCTGGGACTCAACTGAGACAGTGGTTAAATCACAAGCACTACACTTTCAGGGTCGGTGGGATATTAACAATGGGCACCTTTAAAAACTTTAACCTACCGAGGAAAAATCAAACTCCAACCAGGTACAAAGCATCCCAAATCTGCTCATTTTTGTTGCCTTTTCCCCCTTTCACAATTTATAGTGTCAGATGTGGAACCCCAAATAGAGAGATCCAGAAAAATAAACAATGCCGTCTAAGAAGTGACTGGTGAGATCAGATCATTTGCATGGAGCACTGTGATTTTTCAAATACTATACAAAATCTATGTTGATAGCGTGTGCTATTTTCGGCACGATGCCAACAGTCAACAAAGAAATGCCACAAATCCACGGAATTACAATAACTTTGTCCACGAAAGGAGACAGCTGGAAAAGGAACGTGTCTTCCCTAACATACCCTTGGAACAGAAACCTGTCTTTATTCTAAAGCAGAGAACTGACCCAGTGCTTGGGGAAAAAGAAAAAATCTAAGCTAACACAAATTTAGATCAAATAAATCTGCTGGATTTGTTTCTGGTTTCACTGTGCATTTTTCATGATTAATAAACTATACTACAAGTACTCAAACTGCTGTGAGTAGGTAATTCATCACACTACTAGCACCACTAACCGCTCAGCAGACACCCCGAGCATTTCATGGATGGTCCCTGGTACTTACTAACTTCACTAGTCTTGGGTCTAAGGAGATCTCCTGCTGAGGTAGTCCGGAAGAGGCAGCTGGGCAGCAGGTTTAGAAACTCTTAATGATGGAGTGAAGACCATTAAAATGTTTAGGTAGCTTCAGAATATTATTAAAATCACTTAGCAAGCTTTTCAAGTAATCGTGTATTCTAGTTACCCCCGGTCTCTGGGGACTTTCCATTCTTCTCATGGTGACACACAGGTAAATGGTTCCTACACTTCCTTGAACCAGTCACACTCTACATTCTCCTCAGAAAGGTCCACTTAGGGAGCCTGGGTGGCTCAGATGGTTAAGCGTCTGCCTTCGGCTCGGGTCATGATCCCAGAGTCCTGGGATCGAGTCCCGCATCGGGCTCCCTGCTCTGCGGGGAGCCTGCTTCTCCCTCTGCCCCTCAATCTCTCTCTCTCTCTCTCTCTGACTCTCATGAATAAATAAATAAAACATTAAAAAAAAGAAAAGAAAAGAAAGGTCCACTTAAACTAAAGTGTCCTACAATCTAGGAGAAAACTCAAACCCAGCACACACTGGGCTCTCATCTGAAAAGAACAAACCCTGACTTGAAAGGGCTGCAGCGGCTTGCCAGGTATCCCAGGAGAAGAGGCAAACAGACTATGAAAACAAAAATCTTGCAAACTAAGATACCACGTACACTATCAAAAATCCCAGGAAGAAGGAGCCTCCAGGTGATTCTTCAAAAGCAACTTTCCTACTGCCTTTGTCTACAAGGCTCCTCCCTTCAAAACACTGGCCGCGGGGCAGAATGGAACAGATAAAGAAGGCAAACCAGGACAAGTGCCTCCCAAAGCTGCAGCCGGGAACACCGACACCCCCAAATGTAATTTCAAGTGTGAAGTGGGAAGCCAGCTTTTCTCAACGCTAACAAATCTGTCCCGTGCAGAGGCTCTTTTTTATTTTCCCAACTAACTCTGTCTGAAAGTTTACCGAAGCCACTTTGTTTCCTGAGACTCCGATGAGTCGGAGGTTGTGGGCCTTTAGGACAGAGACGCCTTTGGAACACACAACACTGATTCCGCGCGCTTTACACACCAGGACACGCCTCCACAGACAGGAGCTGCCACAACAAATCTGGAGGAAAGGACACTGTGTCCCCTCACTGTCTGTCACGCTTGTGGGCACGAAAGTAAACACTAAACCCGCGAGGCCGGCACTGTCTACTAGGATAACTTACCCGCCCAGTCATGAGATTTAGAAACTTCTTCTTCAGAAATGAATTTACAGAAAGCCTAGGGAAACCTGTCTGAGCTAAGGGGTGTGAGATATAATTAGATTCTCCTGCACTCACAAGGTGCAGGGCGCTGGGGGAGGCATTTCCAGGATCTGGATTACACTGACACCTAACAGGAAGACCACCCAGGGCAGGGCTCCTCTTCCCTGAGGCCTTGGAAAGCACGTGGCACCTGCAGGGGCTCCAGATCAGCCCTACAAGCCCCTGTCCTCTGGGCTGACGGTGGAGCAAGGTGCAATGTCTGAAGTAAGACATTCAGTGGACAAATAAGAGCGGCGGCAGGGGTGGGGGGAGGGGGGAACTCTTGCTGAACTATGCCAGTGTCCAAATTTAGAGGAGACACAGCCCAAATCCCTAAGGAAGTTTATCATCTCGATAGGAAGCCACAAACTTAAACCTCAAACACACAGTTTCTCAGGGATCTGACAAGAAGGAGCACAGAAGAAGTGTGTCCATTAGTTAGAAAAAGAAAAAAAGACACAGAAACAGGAGCGTGCTCAAGACCCACCGAACAGTCCGCTATGGCTTTGGGCGCCCAGATTTTCCGTAGAAAGAGTGCTTCCTTTCAAAGCATGGAAGACCACAGGAAAAAAATTAACTGAATACCTCCAAAGGCCTAAAATCCTAATAGTTTGAAACGCCTGTCTGCAAGACATCAAAATGTCAGCCAACATTTCGACATTGCCTATGACCTCCGTACTTTTCTAAGTATTTGATCCTAAAGTTACGAGGGTAAAAAGTAGGGGAAATTTTTCCCTGTAACAGCGGAACGATCCCCCTGTGTGCGTGCCGAAGGGTGGCGCGCAGACACACGAACCGACAGCCCAGACGCCGGGGCATCGGTCTGGCTGGCCAGAGCGTGCCCTGCAGAGCGGGGCGTTCTGGGGGGCGCAGCTCCCCTCACCGTCGCCGCCGCGTCTGTAAGTGGGTTTCCCGCCCGGGCGCCCGCGGAGAGGACGCGGGAGGGGGCGCGCCCGGGGCGAGCGGCGGCTCGCAGCCCAGCTCCGCCTGCAGCTGTCACGCCCGTGGCCGCGCAGCTTCCACGGCTCCGACCCACTACCCGCGGGTGGCACTGTAGCTCTCGCACTCTTTTTAACACTTTCCTGGGGCAAGTACAGACGCGCGCGCGCGAAGACGGCCGCGCAAGCAAACTTGGTCCGAGCTCCCCGAGCCCCCTCCCGCGGGATCCGAGGGGACGGCGTGCGGGGGCGAGAGGTCGGTCCGCCGGCCAGGCCTGGGGCCCCCCGCTCCCCGCCCTCCGCTCCGGGGCGCGCACGGTCGGAGTGCAGCCGCCACGGCCCGCGAGCGCGTCCCAGGCGGGGTCGGAGGTCGCCCTGGGGCGCGAAGGGCCCCGCCGCTGCCGCCGCCCCGGCCACACCTCCGTTCCAGGAAGCGGCCGGGTCGGGAGCGCGGGGGGCCGGGCCGCGAGCGCCGGGGAGGGGGGGAAGGGCCCGGGCCGGGCCGCCCGCAACGGCCGCCGCCCCCTCCCGCGCCCACGGCACTCACAGGTGACGATGGGCTTGTTCTCCATGGTGTAGATCACCGGCGGCAGCGGCTCCTCAGGGGCGTCCATGGGCGTCCGCCGTCACCGGCCCGGCCCCCCGCGCCCCATGGGCAGCCCCGAGGCCGCGCCGGGCCAGCCCAAGCCTCAGCGGCGCCGCGACAGGGAGGCCCGCCCGGCCGCGCGAGGCAGCTCCCGAGCCGGCCGCCCGCCGCCGCCCGCCGGCCGCACCACTTCCGGCCCCGGCACCGCCGCGCTACCGCTTCCGGGGCGCGCGGCTTAAAGGGGAGGCCTCCCGGCCGCGCGCCGGCGCTGTCCTCCGACCGAAAGACGGCGGGGCGGGGGAGGGCGGGCCTGGCGAGTCCCGGCGGGGCTCCCACAGGCACCTCGAAGCGGAGGCCCCGCGCGGCCCGGCGGAAAGGCTGCGGCCCGGCAGCCGCACCACCACCCCCCGGACAGCTGCCTTCCCTCGGCGTGGGGCGCAGCGACGCGCGGCTCCTCCCCAGGGAGGAGGTCCCCAGGGAGGTCTCCACCGCCCCCAGCGCCTGGCGACCCGGTGCGCGGCCGCTGCCCACCATGCAGATCCCCGGGAGGCAGGGACCGGGCTGCAGTCCCTGGCAGCACACGGGCACGGGCGCGACCCCGGGGTCACCGACAGCACGTGCACACGGGGATGCCCCCGAGGGTCACCGACAGCACCCCGGAGGGTCACTGGACACTGGCGTGACCCTGACAGGCACTGACAGCATGTGGGCCCTGGGACCACCTTGCGGTCACCAAGGACGGGCATGTGGACAGTGGCGTGGCAGTTGCTCACCTCTGTGGGTCTGTTCGCCCAGAACGTAGCGCTCGTTATGTTTCCCCGACACCCAGCGCCGCAGGGGAAACAGTCAAGGCTCCAGATTGATTCCCACCGCCGGGCTGAACGGCAGTTACTCCTTGGGAAACCCCTGGTCTGGTGTTTTCTTGTTACACTGGTTTTAGGAAGGAGTATGGCTGCCATAAAGTAAAGCAAGATTACTTACCTTCCGGCTGCAGCCAAAGACCCTACAGCACTGCAATTACTCAAGGCTCGCCTTGGAGACCAGCTCCCCAACCCTCCCCACCCCCCACCCCCACCTCTGGGGGAGTTGGAAAGACCCGCCCCTTTCTGAATCTCCCCAACAGGTTGCCTGCACTCCTGCCGGCACTACTTACTTGCCTGTGTCCGTGACAACTGCAGAATATGCTGGAACTGCGACTGGGCGTTTTACTTGTGTCCTGAACACTCTCCCATGCCCAGCCAGACACGGCCTCCCACGGAGTAAGCATGTTGTGGGAATGCCACAAAATTAAGCCCTACTTTAATGCATGTAAGTTTCTTGTGCAAGGAAAGTCGTTTTGGGGTCACGTCTGCCGATGAAATAAACTGAATGGATGTGTGAAATAGTGTGAACAAAGCTGCTGAATGTGTGTGCATAGTGTAGCGTGTGCACTGTAGCTGGGTGAGGACGCAAAGAGCAGAGTTTCAGACAGCTGGAGGCTGTGAGGCAGAGCCAGAGAAGGAACTGAGGAGGGGTGCAGAGCCAGAGTCTGCCTCTGCCCCTCACCCACTCATGCACTCTCTATAAGTCCTTGGCCTCGGCTGGGCTCAGCAGGTGTAGGATGAGGCTCCACAGGGCTTACCAGAAAGTGGCTGTGAGAGAGTCATGCATGGCACAAAGAGTAGAGGTCGAGCAGTGCTGTGGGAACGACCTCATTGATACCTCACTAACTCCCAGGACATTCCACTGAGACACTAGAGGGAGGACCATGTGCCCAGGGGTCAGCCCACTTTACCTGTGAAGGCCCAGATGAGTATTTTCAGCTTTGCAGGTCATACACAGTTTCTGTCTTACATTTTCCTCTGGGGCTTTTAAAAAAGCAATTATTTAAAAATATAAAATCCATTCTTAGCTCAAGGGCCATATGAAAACAGGGCATGGCCCACATGTGGCCTGTGAGCCATAGGTTGCCAATCCCCGACCTTAAAACAGTACAAGGCAAAGCCTTGACAAAATCTGCAAGACAGACAGCCCTCAGATTTTAATCTTGCCAAGTTGGTGGGGCTTGCGGACACCTTGAACATTCCTCAGATCCAACCTAACAAAAAGCATAAACCTAAGCCTATACAAAGTCAAGGTGATAAAGATAGTAGTTGAATTGCCAGCAAGAACTAAAGTCAAGACTCTTCTGTGGAAGATGATCCATGGTCTCTACGACTCATGATTTACCAATGCCCAACATATACTAAAAAATCACTACACCTAAAAAACCAGAAAGTGTAAACCATAGTCAAGAACAAAGTAGTCAATAGAAACCAGCCTCCAGATGGCCCAGATATTGTCTTCACAGATTAAGACTATAAAGCTGCTATAATAATCAGCATGCTCAAAGAAGTACGGGGATATAAGCTCTTAATGAGTAAAGACAGGGACTCACAGCAGAGTAAGTATAAAAATAATCAAATGCAAAGTCTAGAACTGAAAAGCAGTTACTGAAATGAGAATTTCACTGCATTGGCTTAACAGTAGGTTGGAAATAGCAGAAAGAGTCAGTGACCTTGAAGAGAAATCAATACAAATGATTCAATCTGAAAAAGAGAAAAAAGATGAAGAAAAATGAACAGAGTCTTAGAGACCTATGGGACAATATAAAGTGGCCTAACACACGTGTCATAGGAGTCCCAGAAGGAGGAGGCCATCAGAATGTGGCAGATTTATTTGAAAAGATAATGGCCCAAAATTCACAAATTTGGTGAAAAAAACCTCAACTTATTGGTCAAGAAACTCAGCAGAGGGTGCCTGGGTGGCTCAGGTGGTTAAGCTTCAGCTCAGGTCATGATCCCAGGGTCCTGGGATTGAGGGCTCCCTGCTCAGCGGGGAGTCTGCTTCTCCCTCTGCCTCTGCCCCTCACCCACTCATGCACTCTCTCTCTCTCAAATAAATAAAATCTTCAAAAAAACAAAAAACAAAAAACTCAGCAGAACCTCAGTAGAACACATGCGAAGAAGCTTATTTACAGGAATATCACAAACTGCTAACAACCAAAACAGAATATCTTGAGAGCAGGCAGTGAAGAAAGACATGTTACCCGCTGGGGAACAATGACAAAAATTTCCACCGAGTTCTCGTCGGACAGTATCAACCAGAGAACCAATGGTATAAACCTTTAAAGTGCTGAGTTTTTAAAACTTAACCCAAAACTCTATGTCCCACAAAAAAATTCTCTAAAAATGAGGGCAGAGAAAGATGTTTGCAGATAGAATGCTAGAATCCGTGGCCAGCAAGCAGGGTACCACAAGACCTGGTGAAGGATGCTCTTCTGGGTGAGAGGAAATGATACCAGGTAGACAGTAGGAAGGGGGGCTCCGGAAACAATCAACAACTACGTAAACGTAAATTGTTATGCTTTTTTCTTCTTTCTGTAATTCCCTTAAAAGACAGCTGTTTAGGGAGCCTGGGTGGCTCAGTTCATTAAGCGACTGCCTTCGGCTCAGGTCATGATCCTGGAGTCCCGGGATCGAGTCCCGCATCGGGCTCCCTGCTCGGCGGGGAGTCGGCTTCTCCCTCTGACCCTCCCCGCTCTCGTGCTCTCTCTCTCTATCTCATTCTCTCTCTCAAATAAATAAATAAAAATCTTTAAAAAAAAAAAAGACAGCTGTTTAAAACATACACAGTGATGTTGTGGGATGGGTTTAGAATGGTTGTGGTCGTGAGAGCCACGACCATGCTCACGCAGACGATGGGTGGGTCAGGGATGGCACGTGTGTGTGAGTTTACACCGGCAAAGTGGGAGATTTCAGGTGTGAGTGAGAAGTTAGAGAGGAGAAGTCTCGGGAATGAGGAGAGAAGACTGAAGTAAAACAACACTGACTCAATGGAATTCGACGGAAGAATACTTATATTCAGCCCCAGAGCAAAACCCCTAGAAAAAAAAAAGTGATTGGAAAGGATTTGCTAAGAAGCCAATAGAAAAAATAAAGTAGAATAGTATAAAATACTTGATTAATTCAAAACAAGGCAGGAAAGGAACAGCAGAAGAGTAAAGGACAGGGAAGATGGTTATCACACGAAAGTGGTTATCACACGAAAAGATGGTGGTTATCATCGAAACCAAGTGGTTATCACACGAAAAGATGATCAGCATCCAATAGATATCAAGGAAAGGTAAATTAAGGTGACAATGACCTATCACTTCACATCTACTCAAATAGCCAAAATAAACATTTTTAAAATGTTCAGTCTTTCTTTTTTTTTTTTTTTTTTGGAAAGAGAGCACACGTGAATGTCAGGGGGAGGGGCAGAGGGAGAGAGAATCTCAAGCAGACTCCCCACTGAGCACGGAGCCCAACTCAGGGCTCAATCTCATGACCCTCAGATCATGACCTGAGCCGAGATCAGGAGCCAAACACTTAACCCACTGAGCCACCCAGACGCCCCCAAAATAAAAATGTTTTAAAACCTGCCAATACCAAGTGTAGACTCCCAGGGCAGGCCTCCATGCGCCAGCCTGTCGTCCCGGAGACATAGTTCAGAGACTCCAGGAAAACAGACACTGAGGATTCTCCCTGATGACCCCACAGACACCATGTCCTGGCCCCATGCCTGGCTCTTGTTTGCAAGAGTTCTTTTTTTCTTTCTTTTTTTACAGTTCTAGAAAGTACTTTTTTGTAGTACAGTTGACACACAGTGTTACATTAGTTTCCAGTGTACAACATAGTAATGTAACAATTCTGTCGGTCAGGCTGGACTCTCCACAGTGCAGCCTCCAACAGTCACCACACGGTGCTGTCACACTGTCATTGACATATCCCCCACGCTGTGCTCCGTAACTGGAGCCCGTGCTCCCACTCCCCTCCCCCATTTTGCCCATCCCCCCACCCTCCTCCCTGTGGAGGACAGGATGGAGGTTCCTCGAAAATGAAAAATAGAATTACCATATGATCCAATAATTCCACTACTGGGGATTTACCCAGAGAAAATGAAGACACGAATTTGAAAGGATAGGTGCACCCCAACGTTTATTGCAGCAATACTTATAACAACCAAGATATGGAAGTTTCCTTTCTGGAGGGATGGCAGGGAAGGGCAAAACTCCCCGGCTCCATTGCAGCCAGCCTCCGGCTAGTGAGCCGTAAGGGGACTCCTGAGCTCTTTTCCCTCTGAGCAGACCTATCAGAACTTTTTTTCACATGGGAATTTAGAAAATGCTTG